TTTTTAAGAAAGATTCAGAATCTTCCAAACAAAATAAAGGGCCAATTTTGAAAACAAAACCCTATAAAACATAAATCCAGGGGAGTCATAAGAACAAAACCTAGAAAAAAACGGCAGAAATTGGGTTTAGAGTCGCCGGAAAAGCAACAGTGGGAAACCGGAGAAGGCGGTTTCCCGGGGAAGAGGTTGCGAGTGTGTGGACTGTGGAGCGGGAGTGAGTGGGGGAAGTTGCGTCAACGAAGAACCCTTGCGTTAAAGAAAAGCATCGGACGGTTAAGATCTGTTTTATAATTTTTTACATCGAAAATAAAAGCTTGACCGTTGATTTCAATTTTCAATGTTCCTGTATTGGGCCTCAAAGGCTTGGGTATCTTTTGGGTTATAAGAAATCTATTCAAGTAGCCACCACCACCAACAAAATTTCGTTACATGTAAAATTTGTAAATAATGTAAGTGTAACTACTAAAGTACTAATAACAAATATTATTGAGTTTCATTTTCTTTTTTTTTTCTAAATTGAGTTTGAACTTTATACATAGTATATATTAAGAAAGCATATTCTCTTTGCCAACACAAGATATAATATATGCTTCTAATTAAACTATGCAATTTTCAGCCCTTTCATTTGCTTTAAAACAGTTCTTATGATCATAAATCATAAATTTAAACCAAGCACATGCATGATGCATGCATGTAACGACGGACGAGAGATAAATCCATGAATTTGCAAAGTAAGCTACAAATTATAATAAGTTTCTTGATGTTTAAGTTAATTAGTAGTTTAGTGTCTAACTTTCATAAAGAAAATAAATCGTGGCCGATTATAGTTCATAGATAACTAATAAAGGTCATGTCTATTTTTCCTTACACCGAAACTTTTTGTTTGGAGCTTGCCGCCTAGATAACGACGCTATGAAAGTTAAGTTACGGTCAAAAGAAAAGAAAAGAAAAAGAAAAACTTTGACTCATAAAAGAACAAAGGTTAATTACCCTCACAATTTTTGTATTTTTGTCAACTTAATTACTCTCACACATTTATCTTTTCAAAATTTGCTCTCAGTTTTAATCATCCTCGATTTTAATGGATAACCGCACAATCGTATAAATATCTTTCGTAGGTAACTTGATTTTTACTATATAAGTATAACCTTTTGATTTTACGGAATTGAATAATAAGACATATTTGTCTTTCACTAGCTATGAACTATGGGGAAAACAAAATATCTTATTTAAAATAAAATAAAAACTATGGGGAAAACAAAATATTATTCATCTACATATATTTAGCCCGTTCCTAAAGATAGGCACGGCCCTGCATATATTTAACATATTATTTTTTCATTTTGTTTCGAATCATTGCAAATATCTTTTGTGATTTTGTATAAGTCAATTTCAATATACTTTATATAATTTCTAGGGAATTAGGTTGAATTACCATAAAATATTGATAATCAAAATAATGATTTTATAATAAATTAGGTCAATGACTATTAGGATTGTGAACATGCAAAAATAATTTTTGGACAGTGCTTGGGTTACTATTCACATGCATATTACTATTTAGTATTTTGTAAAGCAAACTTTTATTTTTGATATAAAATTCCATGAGACCGGGTATTGTAGTTTGTCTATTTATGCTTTTGAATAATTATTGTTAACCGCAATATCATGCTGTTTTGTTACATTTTGTCATTTTATGGTTATTTCACTAGTTCTCTCTTTTATTTCATATCGTTATGTCATTGATTTGATTTTCGGATCCCCGATGATAATTTACCTCTACGAACCGATTCAAAAAAAAAAGTGTATTGACCCTAGCTGACACATATGTATCTCCGAGTATAATAGATAGATTTTTCTTCTTTTCAAAAAACAATTTATTTATGTTCATGTTCATGTATGCCAAATTTGTTCTATCCAATATTAGTGATTCTGTCAGGTTGGGGAAACTTCTTTAGGACTTGAC